AATATATTAAATAGGCCTTTTGTTTTATTTGAAGGCCCATGTTAATTGACAAAGAAAAAGCCTTGTACGGATCTCATCTGTACAACTAAACTATTAAACAAATGTCGGTACAGTGAGAGAGTTAGAGAGAGAGGATCGAAGTGAAAAGTCAGTTATACCCTCAATCCATGTAGTATAGTGTAGAGTGAATATTTTGAGGGTATTTTGGTAAAAAAAAGTCAGCTGAAGAATATGGCTGTCGGCTGAAGAATAATTGAATCCTGCCCCGAAGACAATGGGCCCATATTTCTTGTTTGCCCATAGGCCCTTCAAATTACAGAGCCGGCGCTGATTAGCTTATAACTTATAAGTGATTTTCGATCTTATAACTTATACTTTATGACTTGTAGTTGAAAAACTAGTTTATATATGATAGAAGTGTTTTATAAAATTAGCTAATAAAGTAGCTCAAATAAAAAATCGACGAGCTTATTTGAAAAGCTACTCAAAGAAACTTATGAAATAAACTCGAGTTTATAAAAAAAAAAAAAAAAAACTTGTCATATCAAACGATGTTTAATTGATTACAATAAGCCTATTCACCATGATTTGTTACTTAGGCTATGTTTGGTAAAACTAGCTGATAAGCTAGCGGATAGCTGATAAGCTAGCTTATAGCTTATCAGTAATTTTTTAGCTTATAGCTTGTAGTTTATGACTTATAGCTGATAAGCTAGCTTATATGATAAAAGTGTTTGGTAAAATTAGCTGATAAGCTAGCTGGAATAAATAATTCAACTAGCTTATTTGAAAAGCTACCTAAGGAAGCTTATCAAATAAGCTCGAGCTTTTTAAAAAAGCTCGTCCTACCAAACGAGGCTTATTTGAATACATGGAGCTTATAAACTAACCAAATAAACTATAAGCTAGCTTATTTGTCTACCAAACATAGCCTTAATGAGTTAATTAGGAACACACATATACAATTATTGTCTTTAATTAGTAACTAATCACATTAATTTTTTACACAAGACACCTTTTTTAGAATTTTTTATACCTTTTGAAAATAAAAAAATTAGAAAAACGAACTATATATGTATATATCACCTTGCATACTGGGAAATATTCATAATAAACAAACGAATCTATACTTATATTAAAAGTCATACTATTTACTAAAAATAGTAGCAAAAAAAGTCAACCCACATTTAATGCATACTTTATTTAGAAATTTTTTACTATATGCATTAATTGCTTATTTGCTTGCATATATACATTTTCTATTCAAATATGATGAAAAAGATTATTTTCTTAAATAATTTTATTAACTTCTGCAATGATTTTACTGATATATATTATAATTCATATTTGTCGATAGTATTTTTAATTTTTATTTGAGTATATAAAAAATAAATATTTTTTTAAATTAATATTTTATTATCATCTAAGAGATAATGATCACATCATTAAATGATATTACTGATGACTAAGTAATAAATTAAAATACATTATTATTCTTTAAAATTTTGGCATGTTATTTATTTGTATCTAATACTTATTATATAAGGTATCCTATTTACCAAATTTAGTAGATTGAAAAGGCAACGTAATTAATGCATTGCTATTTCTATCCAAAATTTTATTTAATTATTTTATTTATTTATATCCCATAAATCAGTTTAAGAAAAAAAAAATTCCATAACATCTGACAAGTCAAAAAAAAGACGTAAAATCTTTACTAAAATAAAAAAAAAAACTTTATTTATTTGTCTTATTTCATATTAACATCGATTTTGTCAAAATAAATCCCATAAAATCAGTGAAGTCAAATTTTGTACATAAAGTCTATCTATCCAAAAAAAAGTCAGATTCAAAATTCTTTATCTAAATTCCTTCTTTTTCTTATCTAATTCATTCTTTTCCTTATCTAATTCTTTTTTATTATCCAATTGTATGAAATCTGTTCTGATTTTGTTCAATCCTCTAATTATATTTGTATTATATTCCATAAAATCGGTTTAACAAAAAAAAATCCTATAACATCCAATAAGTAAAAAAAAAAGTACGTAAAATATTTACTAAAATAAAAAGACTTTATTTATTATCTAATTTATTATCTAATTGTATGGAAATTTGTTCTCATTTTATGGTACGTACTACAAATTGTGCACCCGTGTTCAGGAGCTACTTAACGGGCAAACTATGTGGAAATGACTCATTTAGTGTTTCTGTCTCGTGCATATGATATGTATTTTTATTACACATACTAGAAAATTATGCACCCCGTGCATCACCCGTGTTCACATTTTAGCCTATTACAGGTCACACACTATATATATCCCGTACATGTTTTTTATTCATTTATATAATTATAAGAATGGATAAACGACCTTAAAATTGTGCACCCCGTGCATCGCACGGGCTCTGTACTAGTAATCTACAAAACGCGTAAAAAGCGTTAATCCTTCTCATAACCATGTGTATGGGGCCCTTAAGTAGTCTAATAATTACTAATAAACAATATTATTAGTCTTCACCAAAGTTCTAAGTAAAGACCCCACTATATATTCCCCAAATCTTTAAGAAAATTTTATTTAATCCACACTGTACTGTAGCTGTCTCCTTAATAAAGAAATTTTATTTAATTCACCAAAATGGCTCAAATGAAAAAATAATCAAATATAAAATCTACCCTGTTTTAGTTAAACAGTTAAGCATCATTTCATCCAACCTTGTTGTGCTCAAACATTGAAATAAAAAAATATTGCCGATTGAAAAACTAATATTATTGTAGAGTATGTTATTGTAGAGTATGTTATTTTAAAACTTACTTATGCTATTGTAGAGTTTGTTATTTTGATTGAAAGAAATGAGTAAATCCCATTCAATTTGGTAAAAAAATAAAAAATAAAAATGAAAGGAGCCCACACCATCATAAATTAGTATTAAATCCGGGGTAATTTCGGTACAAAAATAGTTATAAAACAATTCATCTGCGCCTTTATCTACTGGAGTTTGTGGCTGCTCAACTGAAAAATTCTCACACTCACACAAAACAGCTTTTTCCTCACTCTACACTTTCTCTCTCATTCTCTCTCTCTCACACACGCATTCACGCACATTCTTATGGGAAAATACAACAAGATCCGCCACATCGTGAGGCTCCGGCAGATGCTCCGGTCGTGGCGACGGAAGGCCGCGTCCCACAGATCTCCGCCGGACGTCCCGCCGGGCCACGTCGCCGTCTGCGTGGGCCCCGACCGCCGGAGATTCGTAGTTCGCGCGGCCCACCTCAACCACCCCGTATTCCGGCGGCTCCTCAGCCAGGCCGAGGAGGAGTACGGCTTCGCCTGCCGGGCCGGCCCGCTCGCGATCCCCTGCTGCGATGAATCCCTGTTCGAGGATGTCCTCCGGGTCGTATCCCGGGACGACCCGGATGACCCGAGTAGGTGCTGCCACGTGGGCGTCCGGCGCGGGGGCTCTGATTTTTTCGGCGAATCTCGGCCGTTGCTGTTCGGATTCAGCGCCTGATCGGATTAATTTATGGACTGACGATTTTAACCCTCTTCACCTTTTTTTTTTCCATTTTTTTTTAATGTTATGGAAAATGTGTATTGTTTTCTATAGACGGGTTTAACAATGAAAGTCGTTTTGTAAATGTAGATCTAATCCCGTTTTTTGGCATTGGATATTGATTTTTACATGTTGGAGCATGTACAATATGATAATTCACTTCCTATTTTTACTATTATTTATTATCTTATGATCATGACATTGATATGTAATTAGTCCTTATATATGA